CCCACCTTTCACGCCTTATTTCTCCTCCCCCCTCCCCCCTCAGAGCTCTCCCAGGATCAGTCTCCGCTCTGCCAAGACACTGACCGGCGTCCTGCTGTCCCTAGCTCTGACGTCATTTGTGGTAAACTATCTGGAGACCTGGGAGGTTCTGGCCGTGACGTCTTCCAGGCTTCTGACCATGGCCTTGACCTCTGCCCTCTTCCACGTGACATATTCCTACCTGTCCACCTGCGTGGTTTTAAAGGTGAGCGCCCCCACCCGTGGGAGGTTGGCGGGTGCTCTGGTGTGGTTCTTATCAAACATCTATCGCCCTTTTCTCTTCTTCATTTCTTTACACGTAACAACTTTAATCTAGGAACACCTCTAATCTTTTGCACATAGCATGACATATTATTCGTGTTGCACGAGCTGAAATGGTTGTTTTTCTCTATATTAATACAATATCTTGCTTCTTCTTGGATATTGCAATATCGATGTAATTTTCTTTACAAAAAATACGTGAGCGGTTGGCGGCGCCATAGTACGTGTGCTTTGCTCTTTCTTTTCGTCCATGTCTCTCGTCCTTCCTTTTTTTTTGTTATGCTACTCTCTATAACACTTCTAATCCTTTGCGCTTTAATGACACATTTCTTTTGCAAGTGCCGTAAAACATTTTTTTAAAAGTAAAGTTATTCCTGCATCCGATCCGGACATTGGGGGTTGCCTTGTTTAAGGGACAACTTCATGGGCCTTCAGCATATTGTGGTAGGGTGGCCAGTTCCTTTCCACGCCGCCTTTACTTCCCCAACTCGAAGTGAGGTACCCATTACTGCTGGGTGGGCAGGAGGGGGCGAAAAAAATCCGTGTCCGAACCGAGGCTCGAACCACGACTTTCCGCTTCGAGACGAGCGAGTGACCGCTTCGCCACCGCACCCTCTCGAAAAACACTTACTAAGACTAAACTAAAGCGTAGCCCGCTAACTAGAGTGATCTAAGTTATGTTGATACATATCAACCCCCCCCTCTCTCTCTCTCTCTCTCTCTCTCTCTCTCTCTCTCTTTCTCTCTCTCTCTCTTTCTATATCTTTTTGTATCTCTCTCTCTCTCTCTCTCTCTCTCTCTCTCTCTCTCTCTCTCTCTCTCTCACACACACACACACACACACACACACATACACATTCACACATACACACAGATTTACACTCTGACTCACTCACACACACATACACACACACATACTCCCACATACACTCACACACACACACTCAAACACACACACACACACACACACACACACACACACACACACACACTCACACACACACACACGCACACAATGACGACAAACGACGCCCGTGTGTTTCAGCTGATGGACGTCATAAGCCACTCGGTGTGCAACATCTTCAAACGTCTACTGGTCGTCTGGCTTCTCTACTCCTGTGGAGCCCGGTCTGCCACGGGATTGAACCTCCTTGGTCTCTTCTTCGCCGGCCTGGGCCTAGCACTCTACCTGCACGGAAAGCTGGGGTATGGTCACGTGACAGAGTGTGTCCGTCGACCAATCATCATCTCGCTCGCTGACTGGGTCAAGAGTAGTGTCATGGTGGCGTTGATTCTTCTCCTAGTTTTAGCGGGGCTGAAGACCTCGCAGTGCGGAAAGACCTTAGATTTGGGTAGGGTTCTGGGACAGTCGCATATTTCCTTATCTGCAGGATACGTGGTGCAGAAGGTAGGTTTCGAACCTGCGCCTTTCGCGATTAGGAAAATGTCAGCTGTGGATGGCGACGAGGAAGATCTGAAAGCTGTGGTACTTCCGGGAGTGAGCGTGGAAACGTTCAAGACGTGGCGCTTGTTGGAGCATCCCACACACACCGACTTCTTGTCGCATACACTTACAGACAACAGGGCGGTCGTGGGGGAGGCGCAGAGAGTTCTGCTCAATCTCCTCTCTGATATCATTGGCTCAGCCAGTCACGTGATGCTCATGGAGATAGCGACGTATGAGAACAAAGGAGACCCAGCCATAGCAACAGGGGAGGTAATGTTACTACGCAAGCTGAACAAAACCGTGGTGTACTATTGTGAAACTCACACGTGTACTAACGGCAATCTGAACTACGCTTTGAAGATTGACTCACGTTATGCGGCAGGCGATCTGGTCGTGTTGATGCAAGGGGGTGGGAACTTGGTCGGTTATCAGAGCAACGACGTCGTGAGGCGGCGAGTCCTGGAGAGGTTCCCTCACCGGAAGCTGGTTCTCCTGTCTCAGAGCATCTGGATCCACCCGAAGAACCACGCCCACTTACAGGAGTGTCGGAAAATTTATTCCAACCGCCCAAACCTGATCATGCTACTCCGGGACCGCCAGTCCTTCGCCCTGGCCAGACAACATTTCAACGGCACGCGGCTGGTCCTGGCACCGGATATGGCGTTTGGGATAGGCCTCATCCCCCGCCAGCTCCCGCCAACTCTGGACATCGTCTGGCTCCGGCGAGACGACCACGAGTCCACCAGATACGAGTTGCCGCCCTTCCCAGACGATCTAGCGATACACGTCGGGGACTACGTCCACGACTGGAACTCGAACCGGGGCCATACAGACATGGAGACCTCTTTCCTCATCGCCTCTGCAGGTTTACAGTATCTCCAGAGAGGCAGAGTGGTCATCACTGACCGGCTCCACGGCCACATCCTGTCCACTCTGCTGGACATCCCGCATGTGCTGATCGACAACCCACCCTACTTCAAACTGTCGTCCTTCCACAGGTCCTGGACGCAGGCTCTCACCAATACCGCCATGGTCACCACGGGGCACCAGGCTTTGGCGGAGGCGCGTAAAATGCTGCAACGTTACTCTTCCTCTCTCCCGCCTGTTGCGCCTTATATGCACGCCCCATCTGTAGATCCTGGCGCTTCCTATTTGTGGCTTTTCCTCAAGTACAACCGTCTGTACATTATGTTGTGTGCGCTACTGCCCGCTCTCGGGTACGTCATCTGGCAGAGGCGACGCCAACTAGTGGTTGTGTGCCGAGCGTGTAGAATAGGAAGAACTCAGCAGCAATCTCAAGACAAAAGTACCGTGTGACCCGGTGTTTGCTCACTTTACAATCACGCTCCATCTCTGAACGGATACTTCCTTCAGAAGTTGACAAAAAGACTCAATTCACGACTTAATAATTCCAAACAATCCGATAGAAGGCCTTTTGGCCTGTGTCTGTTCCATAGACCTGTATAATAATCCAAGACTCTGCTCTCTAATGTAATTCCGGTTCATCGAGGAGTGCACCATTTGAATCTGCATGTATTTGGAACCAAATGAAGAACAAGGAGGAAAAGTCTGCTGGCGTACTCTACTGCAGTGAGACTGGTATTTTGCTCTTCAATTTTACAACCATGATGCGCACCAGAGCAGCAAAGTTTTGATAGGGCGCAAAATTCTGCAGCCAAGACAGTACCCGGTCCAGGGTATCATAGTTCAAGTCTATGGAGTTGCCAAACGTGAAGTATTTGTCAGTGCAAAAGTTGATAATGGGACGAAATTCACGAGACAAACTTTCCGAACATTCTACATTGGCGTCCGTATGGTGTAGCGAGGCACTTCACTGCCGCACGCAGGAGACCCGAGTTCGATTTCCGAATAGTGAAAAAAACCCAACTTCATCAAGTAAATCTCTGTCTTTCAACCGAGATGTTGTATCCCTCTCAGCCCTGGTTGACCCTGACAGGCAGGGTAGGAAGCCTGCAGTCATAAATTATCTAAGTTATGTTTTTAGAGATGTAAAAACACCTGCTTTTGTATTAAAAACTACAGAACATTCTGGAATACGTCATTGTGGTCTGTGTCTGTCCTCACCTGTATGTTATTTATATTATGGGGTGTAAGAACCCTACTAAAGTGCGGTCAAAAATTCCTGGCGCAACTCATCCTCAAATATTTGTATAAAAGGTGAATCAATGTCACCCATACTTTGCAAAGCAGTTTGTCTCAATTTGTGTTAACGTAATCATATTTTTCCGCAACAAGTGAGGCTAGACGAAAAAATATTTCTTTATAAATTTATATAAAACTAGCTGGGCCCCTTTCGATGAAAGGAATGATCGGTGCATTAACATCAACTGAAAGTCTACTGGAATTGAGCAATAAATCCTGAGAGATGCAAACAATTAGAAGGTTTAGATATAGATATAGATCTAGTGATGTATAGATTGATTCTCTATTCCGCTTTCGTGGTTGTACACTCCAGAAGTTCAAAGGTGTGGAAACAGTGCGCACGACTATTGAAGGGGAACCTCACTTGTTTACAATGGCGTGTTAGAAAACGGACATTCCCAGGATTAGATCAGAGAGTTTACAGTAATACTATTATTACTGTAAACCCTCTCTGATTAGATCTAAACAAAACTAAAGAAAAGCTGAAAAGTAAATTACAGTGACTTCAGGCTCCTTAATAGAGCTGTGCACCTTTAAATGATTCTGAACCACCGTTAATTTTGTCAAATTCAAAAGTTCAGTGGTTCTGAAGTTTTAGGCGGCCAAAGTGACGAATTTTCACAAATATATTAATAATATGCATAGATCTAGATACTACAAAACTCCTTCACGAGAGAAATAGAATTGTTCACAGCACTTTCCGCTCCTCACACACATTTTATATACGCATATGGGTTACGTCCCAGCTAAAAAATGACGCTTTTTAGTGGCAAAACTAGCTACAAGAAATTAATTTTGTAGTGAACACTTTTTTGCTCTAAAAGTTCTCAAAACATGCGTTCAATAAAGATATTTCCGCGATAAGTAAAAAAAAAATCAACCAGATTTGCTTTTAAAAGCGATATCGTTCCAGCTGTAAACCTTTAAAAATCAATAAAAACAACCCTCTTAGATTTTTTATCAGTATTTATTAAGGAATTTTCTAGAATAGAGCCTACAGGTCTCTACAGAAATATTAATCTGTTAAGACAAATTGATATACACTGTGCAAAAGCTGGAGAGTTTATGTTGGATAGTTGAGGAGATATTCCACAATAGGTTGCTCCGCGAATTTTTGATCGCTCTATAAATGCGAACATTCTTATATTTTTGGGGCTTTGTGTTGGTATCTGCTTTTCCGCCTGCAACAACGACGAATCTGACAGATACACCGCGGATGTTAATTCAATTTTCTATCTGTAAGGCTATGTTTCCCTGGGCTATCGGTCGTTCCTAGGGTCCATGTGTTAGAAAGTGTGATGTTATGGTTGTTTCTCTCTGTCTATCTTGCTTCTTCCAAAGATTAATCTCTAGACCGATATTGCAATATCGATGTACTCCTCTTTACAAAAAGAAATGTGTGGGCGGTTGGCGCTCACTCTGGAACGTGAGGTTTGCTCCTTTTTTCCCCCACCAAATATATATCGTCCTTATCTCTCCTCCTTCTTCTCTTGTTACGTTACTCTCAGTAACATCTCTAATCCCCAGAAGTTATATGACAATTATTTGGCTTGCAAGTGTCGTAAAACTGTCTCTAAAACTAAGCTAAAGACAAAATATCAGAGGTGTCCGCCAACTACGCTAACCTAAATTATGTTGATCACACATTAACCTACCTGCCTCCATCTCTTTCTCTCTCTCTCTCTCTCTCTCTCTCTCTCTCTCTCTGAGCTCTCTCTCTCTCTCTCTCTCTCTCTCTCTCTCTCTCTCTCTCTCTCTCACACACACACACACACACACACACACACACACACACACACACACACACACTCAGACACACACACATACACACACATACCCACTCACACACACATGCACAAATACACACACACACACACACACACTCACACACGCACACAATGACGACAAACGACGCCCGTGTGTTTCAGCTGATGGACGTCGTAAGCCACTCGGTGTGCAACATCTTCAAACGTCTACTGGTCGTCTGGCTTCTCTACTCCTGTGGAGCCCGGTCTGCCACGGGATTGAACCTCCTTGGTCTCTTCCTCGCCGGCCTGGGCCTAGCACTCTACCTGCACGGAAAGCTAGGGCATCACCACGTGACAGAGTGTGTCCGTCGACCAATCATCATCTCGCTCGCTGACTGGGTCAAGAGTAGTGTCATGGTGGCGTTGATTCTTCTCCTAGTTTTAGCGGGGCTGAAGACCTCGCAGTGCGGAAAGACCTTAGATTTGGGTAGGGTTCTGGGACAGTCGCATATTTCCTTATCTGCAGGATACGTGGTGCAGAAGGTAGGTTTCGAACCTGCGCCTTTCGCGATTAGGAAAATGTCAGCTGTGGATGGCGACGAGGAAGATCTGAAAGCTGTGGTACTTCCGGGAGTGAGCGTGGAAACGTTCAAGACGTGGCGCTTGTTGGAGCATCCCACACACACCGACTTCTTGTCGCATACACTTACAGACAACAGGGCGGTCGTGGGGGAGGCGCAGAGAGTTCTGCTCAATCTCCTCTCTGATATCATTGGCTCAGCCAGTCACGTGATGCTCATGGAGATAGCGACGTATGAGAACAAAGGAGACCCAGCCATAGCAACAGGGGAGGTAATGTTACTACGCAAGCTGAACAAAACCGTGGTGTACTATTGTGAAACTCACACGTGTACTAACGGCAATCTGAACTACGCTTTGAAGATTGACTCACGTTATGCGGCAGGCGATCTGGTCGTGTTGATGCAAGGGGGTGGGAACTTGGTCGGTTATCAGAGCAACGACGTCGTGAGGCGGCGAGTCCTGGAGAGGTTCCCTCACCGGAAGCTGGTTCTCCTGTCTCAGAGCATCTGGATCCACCCGAAGAACCACGCCCACTTACAGGAGTGTCGGAAAATTTATTCCAACCGCCCAAACCTGATCATGCTACTCCGGGACCGCCAGTCCTTCGCCCTGGCCAGACAACATTTCAACGGCACGCGGCTGGTCCTGGCACCGGATATGGCGTTTGGGATAGGCCTCATCCCCCGCCAGCTCCCGCCAACTCTGGACATCGTCTGGCTCCGGCGAGACGACCACGAGTCCACCAGATACGAGTTGCCGCCCTTCCCAGACGATCTAGCGATACACGTCGGGGACTACGTCCACGACTGGAACTCGAACCGGGGCCATACAGACATGGAGACCTCTTTCCTCATCGCCTCCGCAGGTTTACAGTACCTCCAGAGAGGCAGAGTGGTCATCACTGACCGGCTCCACGGCCACATCCTGTCCACTCTGCTGGACATCCCGCATGTGCTGATCGACAACCCACCCTACTTCAAACTGTCGTCCTTCCACAGGTCCTGGACGCAGGCTCTCACCAATACCGTCATGGTCACCACGGGGCACCAGGCTTTGGCGGAGGCGCGTAAAATGCTGCAACGTTACTCTTCCTCTCTCCCGCCTGTTGCGCCTTATATGCACGCCCCATCTGTAGATCCTGGCGCTTCCTATATGTGGCTTTTCCTCAAGTACAACCGTCTGTACATTATGTTGTGTGCGCTACTGCCCGCTCTAGGGTACGTCATCTGGCAGAGGCGACGCCAACTAGTGGTTGTGTGCCGAGCGTGTAGAATAGGAAGAACTCAGCAGCAATCTCAAGACAAAAGTACCGTGTGACCCGGTGTTTGCGCACTTTACAATCACGCTCCATCTCTGAACTGATACTTCCTTCAGAAGTTGACAAAAGACTCAATTCACGACTTAATAATTCCAAACAATCCGATAGAAGGCCTTTTGGCCTGTGTCTGTTCCATAGACCTGTATAATAATCCAAGACTCTGCTCTCTAATGTAATTCCGGTTCATCGAGGAGTGCACCATTTGAATCTGCATGTATTTGGAACCAAATGAAGAACAAGGAGGAAAAGTCTGCTGGCGTACTCTACTGCAGTGAGACTGGTATTTTGCTCTTCAATTTTACAACCATGATGCGCACCAGAGCAGCAAAGTTTTGATAGGGCGCAAAATTCTGCAGCCAAGACAGTACCCGGTCCAGGGTATCATAGTTCAAGTCTATGGAGTGGCCAAACGTGAAGTATTTGTCAGTGCAAAAGTTGATAATGGGACGAAATTCACGAGACAAACTTTCCGAACATTCTACATTGGCGTCCGTATGGTGTAGCGAGGCACTTCACTGCCGCACGCAGGAGACCCGAGTTCGATTTCCGAATAGTGAAAAAAAACCAACTTCATCAAGTAAATCTCTGTCTTTCAACCGAGATGTTGTATCCCTCTCAGCCCTGGTTGACCCTGACAGGCAGGGTAGGAAGCCTGCAGTCATAAATTATCTAAGTTATGTTTTTAGAGATGTAAAAACACCTGCTTTTGTATTAAAAACTACAGAACATTCTGGAATACGTCATTGTGGTCTGTGTCTGTCCTCACTTGTATGTTATTTATATTATGGGGTGTAAGAACCCTACTATAGTGCGGTCAAACATTCCTGGCGCAACTCATCCTCAAATATTTGTATAAAAGGTGAATCAATGTCACCCATACTTTGCAAAGCAGTTTGTCTCAATTTGTGTTAACTTAATCATATTTTTCCGCAACAAGTGAGGCTAGACGAAAAAATATTTCTTTATAAATTTATATAAAACTAGCTGGGCCCCTTTCGATGAAAGGAATGATCGGTGCATTAACATCAACTGAAAGTCTACTGGAATTGAGCAATAAATCCTGAGAGATGCAAACAATTAGAAGGTTTAGATATAGATATAGATCTAGTGATGTATAGATTGATTCTCTATTCCGCTTTCGTGGTTGTACACTCCAGAAGTTCAAAGGTGTGGAAACAGTGCGCACGGCTATTGAAGGGGAACCTCACTTGTTTACAATGGCGTGTTAGAAAACGGACATTCCC